TGAAGACAACACTGGATTCCAGCAAACTCCCTCATATTCCATAACTAAACTCATTATCTACAGTCATATCGATAGGAAAGGAGATACAGCTTTAAATTTGCCAAGGTAAAAAGAGGCCGAAGCCTCAACAGAACAAAAGGGTAAATGATAATCAGATGATCTGGGAGACATCATTCAACTATAGGCAGTCTCTTTAGGAGCTCTTCTGAAGAGACTAGGAGCCACCTCAGGACAGTGCCACCTGAGTGGTCATATGTGGGCCTGGCGTCCCAGGTGATGGGTCCTTTGGGAGTGGGGCTATGGAATTGACCTTTAGTTTGATGGAAATGAGAGAGTTAACTGGCCTGGGAGATAGCAGGGGGCAAAGGGATTTCCTGGGAAATGAGCAAGTTCCATGGGTCATTACTGTAATTATTTTCCCCCACACATAACAAACAGAAAACCTCCATTACTGCATTGCCAAAGACTATGATTTAAGGGATTCAATCTGCCATGTAACTAATTTTAATTTTTGGATCAAAACGTCCCTCAAAGAAAATCCCTTGAATGGTCAGTCCAGAGGACGTGAAAGGGGATGGGGAAGTCCAAGTATGTGGCGAAAGGCCACATCTCCAGTTTAGACGTCCTCACAGCTTTGCTTGCTTTGGGGCTGAATCATGATGTGTTTTCAAATCACTTAGTGAATTTAGGGATATAGAAAATTGCAACTAGTAGGTGAAGTATGAAGGTTGGACCTTCTAGATTGGTAATTCCTACAACATTTAATCCACATGGAGTAACATTTTCATGTAGGTATGACTTTTTAATCAACAGATAGGGATTGACGTCAGCTCTTTATTTCTCAAATGTCATGGAATGCTAGTAACAATAATATTCAATATTTACTAGGGTTACTATGTGCCAGTCACTGTGCTAAACATGAATCCTCACAAAAACCCTAAGCACTAAGAAAGCCAGGGTAATTATTTTTCTGCACCCAACTATACAGCTAATTTGGCCTTTTGCTAGAAAAAACTTGGTGTTCCACTTTTTGTTGAAGCAACAAGAATGAAAGGAATGTGCCCTCAGCTTGAGGGAATTCCTACCTTCCTAAATGAGCAGGAACCTATTTCTGTCCACCCATCTACTCACATGACGATGCTTCACAGCCTCTTAACAATGGATGGGATTAGAATGAAGCTGATACGGGAATTAAAATATTTTAAATAAATAAAACATCCAGGCTTGGGACAGTAACACATACAACAGAGCCTGTCGTTAACAAAATAGACTTTCTTTAAATCAAGAATTTCTGGGTCTGGGGGAGAAGGGAAGTCTCCCAATTATATATACAATCTAGGTAAACCAACTCAGAGAAATGGGGTGGCCTGTCTTAGTATGGTCCAAAAAGCACACACTTGCCTCTAAACAAAACAGTTTCAGTCCAACTTGAAGCATTTATGCCTCACTATCAGTAAGCCATGTCCTCTGGGGGCTCTACTCCCAAAGGGGAGAAATGCATTACCCCCCTTCATGATGCCTGCCAGTTGATGTGTTTCTGGGATGGTGGGTCTGATGAGATCAATGAGGCCCTGCTCCCCTTCAGTGCTGCCCTGACAGGGTTTGTGTTTTGCCTTGGCCACATTCAGCAACACTTGGACAGCAGGAAACACAGCCCCATCAGCACATCTTCAGGCAGCCATCCCAACACAGATGCAAGGATCGGGCCCAGCAGACCCGGAGGGCACGGGCTGGTCTGGCAGAATCTGAGATGCCTATAATGGACTTGGGTGCAGTGGCCTTGTGGGGCTGGAGGACATTTCTGGCGCCTAGTCCAGGCATCTGCACTGACCCCAGGATAAGCTCTAGTCTCCAAGCTGGAGTCAGCTAAATCCTTTAAATAGCACCCAGATCCTGAAAGTCAACCCCAAAGAAAAGTGAAAATGCACATCAGAGAAACAATAAACATCACCGAAGAAACAGACTCTAACATTTCTAAACATGGCATATGCTAAAAGAGCAAGTTACAAGAAGCAGTGACAAAAACCTGGTCTAAGTAAAGATGCAAAGAGTATCTCCATTTGTACACGTGCAAATCAAACTGCATATGCAAAAGAAATGAGGTGTTTACTGGCATTAAAAGAAGTGTGTTTCTCCCCTTTACCTTTCAAAGGAAACCTTCCTCTTTTTAAATAAATTAGATAAATTTTTTTCCTCATGATAATTTTAAAGAACTTAGGATCACAATGGGGAAAAAAAAATCCAAATTTCATTTGTTGTTGTGGCTGTTATGTGCCCTTGAGTCAGCCCTGACTCATGGTGACCCCTCTTGGGTTTCCAAGGCGGTAACACTACAGAAGTAGATTGCCCAACCTTCCTTCCTCCAAGTGGCTTGAACTGCCAGCCTTCTGGTTAGCAGTCAAGTGCCTTAGGCATTATGCTACTAGAGCTCCTAAATTTCATTTAGGAAACAAAATATACAAAAACTTAAAAACAAAAAAACCAGGAAAGACAGGCTTAGGAAAACATTGATCTGACTGAAAACTTCTCGTGGAATTGTCATCAGTTTGGGATTCTGTTAAGATGGGCACTTGTAAAATCCCTGTAGTCTCCCAGTTCACACAGTCAGAGGCCCTTTGCTCTGCACAGGTGGGGAGCCTGTCTTCCAGATGGAGCACCCCTCCCCCACCTCACAGAACACTGAGTACATCTAGCCAGCTCTGAGGCAGCCTGAGAGCCAGGATTCATCCTGGTACCACAACTCTATTGATAATGCCCTCAACAACTGGAGTGTGAGTTGGTTTGCCCCATGAGCGGCAGGCCGTGTCAGACCTCTGGCTTATCCAACACCAGGTGGAGGGAGAGGAGTCTCTTGGGACACCTGTTCCTGACTTGGAGAAGAATGGGAGAGCTGAGGGGTCATTAAGATAGCCTGGTAGCCTCTGAGCTCAGGGACAGCCCACAAACAATTCTGGCAGCTTCTAGAACCTAAGGCAGGCACATCCTCTTTTCAGAGAATTGGCTTTCCACCTTCCTTTCCTTAAGTTTCCCTGCAAAGAGATGGATTAACCCAGCCGAGCCTGGGAACTCACTTTTGGCTCACAGGCTCCCCGTGCTGGTCGCATTCTAACACTGACTTCCTCAGCTTTTGAAGTTCCAAGATGAGTCCAGTAGAGGGCAGCTCAGGATAGGTATGTACTGCCATGGAACTCAAGCCTGGGAGAACTCAAGCCACATATTCCCACACCCAGGGCCCAGCCAAGAGGCCCATTCACAGGGAAAAGCTATGCCTGATAGCAAGGATGCCAGCTGTTTCTCCTCCTTCAAGAAAGTGCCCTTGTGATGCTTCGGGGAATACACATGCATTCTTACCCTATCAACAACAAGGCTTCCTTTGGACTTCTGCCCTTCTCTCATTGCTGGGCCCAGGCAAAGGCTGTCCTCAGTTGGTTCTTGAAGTGTCCCTGCAATTGCTCAGAGCAGAGGTCACCATCAGCACTCTCCCGGCAGATGTGTTCAGGTGTCACCTAAGGGTGGAAGAGGTCCCTTCCTTGTACTCTAGGATTGGAGGTACAATTCAGACCCACTGAGCAGGGGTCTGGCTGTGCATTTAGTGTGATTTATATATGAGGGTACAAATGGGGAAGCAGGCAGACTCCAACTTTCCAGACTCAAAGGCTCCACACTCCTGCAGAGTCCTTCTCTTCCTTCACTTCTCTAGGCCCCCAGGGTGTCAGCCATGTCACTAACACAGTCAAGTGCTCCCAGGGAAACGGAGGCCTTGCTCAGCTGCTCCATCCAGCAGATACCCCTCCTGTCTGGCACCCTGACAACACTCTGGGCTGTCTAGGGAGGGGGCCTGGTTCTGAGCAGTAAAAGCATTCAAAACCAGCAGCGAGGGCTGTGTGGGTCCCACTGACGCTCATAACAGGATGGTCAGCAAGAGCGAGGAGGGGGGTCACACCCACCAGCTGGAGATGTTAGGGGTTCAGAGGAAACTCACAAATTTGTACATGGTCCATTGAAGCAGTGCCCAAAGGCAGGGGGACTTCCACAAAGGAAGAATGCAGGATGACAGTGTCTGGAAGGTGGGGTCCAGAATGTCTGACCAGGCCAGCCTGCCACTGGCTTTGGGCTTATCCCTGCTGCTGTTTATTCCCCTCATAATATTATGCCTGGAGTAAAAGCTGTGGCACACTCTCATTCCCTGCCAGTCACTCTCACACCACAAGTGAGCATCAAGACAGGAGTCATTGTAATTGCTCAAGAGACTGCCCATGATAAGCACCAAGTTCACAAAGAGCCCTATTCCCTGGAATGTGGTGATGTTAGACACACTGTCAGATTACCCAATAAGCAAAGTAAGCATAGGCTTACTTGTGCTTACTCATCTGTAGTGAACGATTTCACATTTTTTTCACCACATGAAAGACTGTTTCTAGGTATGGCTGGTATCTGTCTCTCTCCCAACTCCACAGCACCTTCCTACTGAATCAAAGCCTCTTTTCAAATTTGCAGTCTCCGACAGGCACAGAATACCAAGTAAGCAATGTATCATGATGTGAAACTGTTTGCTACAGATAAGTAAGTAAGCACAAGTAAGCCTGTGCTTACCTTACATATTAGGTAATTCGTACCTGGTCAGACATCAGAATGGAACACAACACTGCCCACCCACCTGGACCTTGCTCAGGTCATGCCGCTAGTTGTTAGGGGCTGAGGACTATCTGAATCCCAGCTCCCAGGCAGCCCTCTGCAGGAGCTAGTGAGTCAGACCTCCAAGGCAGCCAGAAGCTCTGTAAGTGCTCAGAGAACTTTTCTACCTTCTGCCTTCCAGTGACGTTCAAGGAGAGTGAATTTAGCACAAACTACCTACCAAGTGTAAATCTCCAAATCCTGCATTTCCTTTCCCAAGGGATTCTAATGAGGCATTCTGGCTGGGAGAGGGTTAGTGGGGCAGGCAGCCCTGTGTTGTGTCCCTGGCTGGGCTCTATGGACAACACACAGGATCAGTTATACCCACAATCCCCTGGAGTGTTTGGCTTTGTTTTAAAAGCAAGATATCCTTTTGTTCTGTCACCATTTGCTTGGAGGAACTAGGTTTTCAGGAGTGAGCGTGTCACCAGCCCCAAACCTCACCCTGTTCCTTCTTTCCCTTCCATACTCTGCCCACAGCAGAAAGGAACAATATCAGAAAGAAGGCAGATGATTAGCAATGGGAAATCAAAGAAGAAACAAGACATGTGATTGGTCCCTCTTCTCCCTCCCTCATCTCCCCCTCCCTCCCACCCAAATAAATAAATTAATGGGTTTAGGAATTTTCCCATACAATGTTCTTTCCAATCAGCTCAATTCCTCTTCTTGTTTTTTGTTCTTTTCTTTTCAATGGATCTTGAGATTTTCTTTTTACCCTGGAGCAGCTACATCGACAAAATCTCTCCACAGTTGCTCCTCAAAAATAACAACGCAGCTGTGGCCAAGGAGGGGCCAGGCTCCTGGCCTGACATCCACTCCCATTTTGTTTCTGTGGAAACTCCTCTGCTGTGATGCTCTGACTGCAGCAGAAGCTAAGCCCAACAGAGACCTTCCTACCAAACAGGTCAGGGCTGGCAAGTGACCCTGAAGGGCGTTTTCCCCTTGGCCCTGCCTTACTGGGCTGGGGCCACTGTCCTTCCCAGCAGCATTGGTCCGGGCCGAGAGGGTGGCCGCTATAGACAGTCTTTGCAGAGAGCCACCTGGCCCTTGATGAAGTCCCGGCAAGGGCAGATCCTCTGGTGCCTGGGGTGGGCACCTGCACAGCTGAAGAGCAGCAGGTCCCCTTGAAATACACAGTGCTTGTTCTTGGGGTCAAAGGAGGGCACTAGGATGTCCTTGGCCAGCTCAGAGCTTTGGCAGATCACCTCATACCTGGAGAGGAAGAGAAAGGCATGGGGGTTAAAGACACTTGTCCTTGTCACTGGTACCTTTAGGTGCCTCCTGGGTACAGGGGAGCACATTGAGTCCTCTGGCTTGAGGAATGGAATGGAATCCACCATCAGACCCAGCAGTTCCCCACATCTTGGAATTTAGCCCACAGAAGGTGGACGGGTGCAAGGCGTGTGTGTAGGAGGGTACGTCTGAGGTTGCTCAGTGAGGCAATAATGGTGAGAAATTGGAAACAAGCTGGATACTCAGCTTTTGGAGTTCTCTGCAGTCAATGAAAAAGAAAGAATGTGGTAGAAAAGCATGTAGCAGTTGGGAGAGATGTCTCTGAGGGAGACAAGTTGCAGAACAGGAAGGTCAGTGTGTGTGTGTGTGTGTGTGTGTGTGTGTGTGAAGTCAAGAAGGCTGCACACTAAAATGTTAGCATTGGTTACTTCTGAAAAGTGAGGTTAGGGCAAAGGTATATTATTTAAATATTTAAAAAGTATGTTTGGCTTTTTAATGAGTGGCATAAAAATAATATTGTATGGGCCTTTCTTTCCCTGTAGAAGTATCAGTCTCCTGGGGGAAGGCATTGCTCAGGGCACGGGCTGACTGGGCCTATGCAGCCTCCTTTAGGCCACAGCCATAGAGATGAGCTAGCTCGGCTGAAGGATCCATAGAGCAAGGGTTTGAGTCAAGGCCCTAATGACCCCAAGCCTGGGCTCTTGCTCCTCTGCTTTCTTCCTTCCCAACAATGGAACTGTCTGTGGGCTGATGGCCATGTAACTGTGCTTTATCAGCTGGGACCACTGCTTGGGAAGTTGCAGATATTCCAGATGGTTCTGTTCACAACAGTGTCAGCTTCTTCCATGTCCCACACACATCCCACAAGGGTGCCAGGTGGAATCAGGAAGAGGGTGTAGGGGCCAGGCAGACCTCGGTTTGAATCCTTGACTTCATCTCTTATGAGCTGACTCTGGACAAAGGACTAACATTCTCTGTGACTCAGTTTCTTCTTCTGTAGAATGGGGTTAAATATTCCATATCTTACAGCAGGAATTAAATTAGTGCTTATATAGCACTTGGCAGAGTTAAACTCTGGTAAACACTGAATAAATGGTAACTATTATTATTATAGGAGTTCTGGTGGTACAGTGGTTAAAGCATTTAGCTACTAACTAAAAGGTTGGTGGTTGGAACCCATGAGCCGCTCCACAGGATAAAGATGAGGCAGTCTGCCTCTGTAAAGATTTACAGCCTTGGAAACCCTATGGGGCAGTTCTACTCTGTCCTATAGGATTGCTATGAGATGGAATTGACTCAATGGCAGTGGGTTTTTTAAACATTATTATGTTTATTATAATACATTATTATTAAAAAAATCTCAAACGAGTTTTTTTAATAATAATAATTATGCATAATAATATTTACCATTACACACAGTAATAATAATTGTAATAATAAGAATACAACAATAACCAGGCATTGGATGGACTGTATCACTCTCTTCTCTTGCCCCTACTGTAATCATTTACACACATACCAACTGTTTCTGTTTTGCTTTGTTCAGGAAGTCTTGCCTCTCGCTGACAGGATGGAGATCAGGAGGGGGACTATTAAGTTTCCTGCTGCTTCTGGAAAGTTTCCAAACATTGGAGGGAAAACATCATTCTCCCTCTTACTCCTGCCCCTCCTCCCTTCCTCTAGCCAACGCAAGCTGCCTGGGCACACCTCACCCTGCCGATGTTAATCCGGCTATTTCCAGTACATCTGCCGAGGCTTCTGGTGAGCTCTCTGATGCTGCCAGCCTGGCTCCTGCACAATTGGATCTGAAGTGCCAACTGTTTTTTGGAGCTCAGGATGTCACCAGCTCCCATGGCTATACCTGCCAGAGCCAGCCTCTCCTCTCAGGAGTGCTAATTAGTCCCCAGCCCCAGAGGCCTGCACAGGGGGCAGCTGTGCCTTTTATCTGGCTTCCTCAAATGTTCTGACACCTCTGGGCTTGGCCTGACAGCTGAGAAATGGCACAGAAAGGGTTAAGGCCATGAGCCATGAAGGGAGTGGGTAGGAAGTGGATTTTACGGTTTTCTTAAAAGGAAAAATGAGTCATGGACGTGGGTAGCCAGGTAGTTCACAGGATGCCCCTACCTGGAGAAAATGTCAGTTTTAATTTAAAAGTCTGCACATGGAACGTGGCCTTGGGATGCAGATTTATACATAGGCTATTTATTTGTTTAGGTGAACTGTAGCAGCTGCTATGTCTTAACTTAAGCCATCTGCCTGGCCACTGTTAAGCAGGAATGTAGAATGCACTACAACTCATCTTGGACACCATGGCCAAATACCAGTTGCCACTGGGTCAGTTCTGACTCACAGTGATCCCAAGTGTGCAGAGAACTGCTCCGTAAGCTTTTCCTGGCTGTTACCTTTCAGAAGCAGATCTCTAGGGTCTGTCTTCGGAGGCAACTCTGGGTGGGTTTGAACACCAACCTTTTGGTTAACAGCTAAGAGCTTGAACTGTTTGTGCCACCCAGGGGTGTAATTGTTGTTGTTGTTAGGTGCCGTCAAGTCGTCTCTGACTCCCAGCAACCCTATGTACAACAGAATGAAATACTACTTGGTCCTGTGCCATCCTCATGATCCCTGCTATACCCAAGCTCATCGCTGCAGCCACTGTGTCAATCCATCTTGTTGGGGGCCTTCCCCTTTTTCGCTGACTGTCCACTTTACCTAGCATGATATCCTTCTCCAGGGAATGAATGGTCCCTTCTGACAACATGACCAAAACAGGTGAGATGAAGTCTGGCCATTCTTGCTTCCAAGGAGCAATCTGGCTATACTTCCCAATTGTTAAAAAACTCACTCAAACATATTGCCGTTGAGTCGAATCGGACTCATAGCAACCCCTCCTTGGGTTTCTGAGGCAGTATCTCTACAGAACTAGATTGCCCAGTCTTCCTTTCAAGGAGTGTGGCTGGTGGGTTTGAACCACCAGCCTTCTGGTTAGCAGTCAAATGCCTTAGGCACTATGCCACCTACTCATACTATTCCATCCCCAAGGAGCTCTGGTGACACAGTGGTTAAAGTGCTTGGCTGCCAACCAAAAGGTAAGCAGTTTGGATACACCAGCTGCTCCATAGGGGAAAGATGAGGCAGTCTGCTTCCATAAAGATTTACAGGCTTGGAAACCGTATGGGGCCGAACCACGCTGGCCTACAGGGTTGCTGTGAGTCAGAACAGACTCAGTGGCAATGAGTTTAGTTTTAGGGTACTCGTTCCTGGATCATGTGGACTCAGATCCAGGGCACACAGTCTATTGGGCTGCATGCACACACACACGTACAGGTCTATATGTGTGTCTCAACTGAGGCCACAGGAGAAAAAACCTATCCAGCATTGCTGGACAAAGACCATCACAAAGTAGCAGCTGTCTCCAGGAATAATGGGTAAGGCCTGCTGCACAGCAGGTCCCAGAAGTCTGGTTGATGTGAAGCTGTGAGCATAGCCAACATCCCCCACTTCTGCTGGCCCTCCATCCCCTGGGGGCCAAGTATCTTCTGGGCCCCCTGGAGGTCTCTTATTAGCATACAGATATCTGTTACCAGGGCCACACAGTCATCTTCCTCACTTAACTGATGAGGAAAAAGTTCCAGAGAAGTAAAGTGACTTTCACCAATTCCTAGAGCAAAAGCAAAACAAAATGGCCTCCTCATCCCTCCAGGGAACTTCTGCCTTTTCAAGGTGTGCACAACTCTGCTTCTGTCTTTCTTTGTCATGTCTGTCTGCACTCGTTCACTCAGAGATTCTACCACAGTGCTGACTTCTCTGGCAGGCCTAAACAGCTTTTCTTCTTTCATTTTTTTTTTCCCAATGACTTTTATGGTAATTTTATTTGGATTTCTCCAAATCATGATTTGCAGGACATATTTGTTTAAAAATAAAACAAAAACTCAAAAATGGTATCAATTCAATTTGAATTTCCACTGTATTTTTTTTTCAATTCTTAAAATTGTACTTCAGTGAAATAATATGAATTCAGCATTTTCTACTGTTT